AGAAGAAGCGCCGTAAGCTTTTCGATTTCCAACTGCCAAGGTGCACGTGCACAACAATACACACGAGCGTCCGATCTTGCAGGGATTTTTCCCCAGTCCGATGCATTTCTCTGTTGGCTTTCAACTGGTTTGACAGAATTTCACTGATAATCTCTAAACTAGTCTAATATGATTTCATAACTGGTTTGATTTGATTCAAAACAAGGAAAGAGAAAGATCAATTTATTTAATCTATGACTCTCTATTGGTTTAATTCGGGGTCTTAATTATATTCTACAGTGTATGTTTGCTGCACGGCTATATCAAAACACACCAGTGCTGTAGGGTATCCATGGCATCTTCTTCTTCTTTCTTCTTCTTCTTCTTCACTTTATCTTTTACAACTGTGGGTGTCGAGGGAGATATAAGGTTCTGTTTCTAGCTCTTCTGGCCGCCTCGACCATAGGCACATCGTGCTGTTGTAGAGTTTCTCTGATGTTATCCTTCCATGTGGTTCTTGGTCTACCTCTTGCTCTACGTCCTTTTTCTCTTTCCATGTATGTTTTATATAGTATGGTGTCACAAGGCATTCTCTCTAAGTGGGCAAACCATTTCACTTGCTGTCATGGCATCAAGATACAAATAATCTTCTTGTGGGTTCCGGAAAAATAATGCCCTTGTGAGATCCGGAAATAAAATTTCCAATGGGTTTCTGAAAAAATAATCCCCGTATGAGTTCGGGAGCTCCATTCTGGAATGAAGAGGGGGGGGGGGGGGCGGAGGGGAAGAACGATAGACCCTCTGCCTTCCTAACAAGTGTGCCGTACAAGACGACTAGTAAAAGGCAGTGTACAAATACGACAGATTTGTAAACCGGCTATGCACTTAAAACTCAATTTATAGAACACTATCAAAGTTCAGAAATTGACGAACAACCCGAACTTTTCACCGGAGCTCACAGCCGGTGAACACTAAGATAAAGACGATGAGGAAACTAATTAGCAAGATAGAACAGGAATGATTAACTGGTGTGTGAATTAAGTGATTTCATAAATAAAAAAAAAATTTCCACATGTTTATTTGAATATCTAAAAAAAAAATTCTCTGTAATATTTACAAATGTAGTATACATTCTTTTTCCTTACTTCTTATTACTCTTTCTTCTATTTCAAAAAGCAGCCTATGAATCGCACGCATGCACAGTAATGACGAATATCCCTAGTGGTATCTAACACAGTAATGACGAATAACCCTAGTGGTATCCAACACAAGAATGACGAATATCCCTAGTGGTATCTAACACAGTAATGACGAATATCCCTAGTTGTATCTAACACAGTAATGACGAATATCCCTAGTGGTATCTAACACAGTAATGACGATTATCCCTTATGGCATCTAACACAGTAATGACCATTATCCCTAATGACATCTAACACAGTAATTACGATTATCCCTAATGACATCTAACACTGTAATGACGATTATCCCTAATGACATCTAGCATAGTAATGACGAAAATCCCTAGTGGTATCTAACACAGTAATAACGATTATCCCTAATGACATCTAACACAGTAATGACGATTATCCCTAATGACATCTAACACAGTAATGACGATTATCCCTAATGACATCTAGCATAGTAATGACGAATATCCCTAGTGGTATCTAACACAGTAATGACGATTATCCCTAATAGCATCTAACACAGTAATGACCATTATCCCTAATGACATCTAACACAGTAATTACGATTATCCCTAATGACATCTAGAATAGTAATGCCGATTATCCCTAGTGACATCTGGCACAGTAATGACGATTATCCCTAATGACATCTAACACAGTAATGACGATTATCCCTAATGACATCTAGCATAGTAATGACGAATATCCCTAGTGGTATCTAACACAGTAATGACGATTATCCCTAATAGCATCTAACACAGTAATGACCATTATCCCTAATGACATCTAACACAGTAATTACGATTATCCCTAATGACATCTAGAATAGTAATGCCGATTATCCCTAGTGACATCTGGCACAGTAATGACGATTATCCCTAATGACATCTAACACAGTAATGACGATTATCCCTAATGACATCTAGCATAGTAATGACGAATATCCCTAGTGGTATCTAACACAGTAATGACCATTATCCCTAATGACATCTAACACAGTAATTACGATTATCCCTAATGACATCTAGAATAGTAATGCCGATTATCCCTAGTGACATCTGGCACAGTAATGACGATTATCCCTAATGATATCTAGCATAGTAGTGACGATTATCCCTAATGACATCTAACACAGTAATGACGATTATCCCCCGTGGCATCTAGCACAGTACTGACGATTATCCCCAATGATATCTAACACAGTAATGACGATTATCCCTCATGACATCTAGCACAGTAATGACGATTATCCCTAATGACATCTAACACAGTAGTGACGAATATCCCTAATGACATCTAACACAGTAATGACGATTATCCCTAGTGGCATCTAGAACAGTAATGACGATTATCCCTAATGACATCTAACACAGTAATAACGATTACCCCCAATGACATCTAGCACAGTAATGACGATTATCCCTAATGACATCTAACACAGTAATGGTGATTATCCCTAATGACATCTAGCACAGTAATGACGATTATCCCTGATGACATCTAACACAGTAATGACGATTATCCCTAGTGGCATCTAGCACAGTAATGACGATTATCCCTAATGACATCTAACACAGTAATGACGATTATCCCTAATGACATCTAACACAGTAATGACGATTATCCCTAATGATATCTAGCACAGCAATGACGATTATCCCTATGTGACACAGTCGTGTCTTCACATCCCCCAAGAAACAGATGTGCCTAGTTCGGACCAAGTGTTTTATGGATATAGATGTAGCTCTCTTCAATCGTATTCAAGAACAAAGCTAGTGATGTAACAATTACACAGGAGCTCCTTTATTCACAATATTATCAAGTCAAACAGAATGCATCATTTCAATAACCAATAGTACATGAACACTTCATCATCTTATTACTGGCTTTTCGTATGTCTCTCTATGTTCCTTAATCACTCTCTTAGCTAAACTCCAAGTTTAATATATATCTTCTAAAACGAAGTATAGCTCTAGTTTCCCAACTGGTCTCTCCAGCGGTCCCGTCCTAACTGTTCTCCAGAGATCCCGTTCTAACTGTTCTCTCAAGCGGTGCCCTCCTTTCTCGCGTGCTTTCTCAATCACTCCCTGTCATCTGTCTCTGGTGGTCACGTTTGGATAAACGTATCTTCAGTTGGACACGTGCATCGCGTTGCTCACCTCCCTCTGCATCGTATGTTTCCATCCTTCACTGTCAGATGTCATGATTTTACCATGATAACCACACTCAATTTAACTCTGGTCATCGTGCAGATGTTCTGTATCGCTGACCAGGCCAGCTTTCTAATCACCCAATAGCGTCTAACACAGTAATGACCATTATCCCTAATGACATCTAACACAGTAATTACGATTATCCCTAATGACATCTAGCATAGTAATGACGATTATCCCTAATGACATCTAGCACAGTAATGACGATTATCCCTAGTGATATCTAGCACAGCAATGACGATTATCCCTAATGATATCTAGCACAGTAATGACGATTATCCCTAGTGACATCTAGCACAGTAATGACGATTATCCCTAGTAACATCTAGCACAGTAATGACGTTTATCCCTTATGACATCCTCTTTAGGGAATTACTCATTCATAGAAGATGATTGTGGGGTCGGCCTCTACTAGGTTTGCAAGTGGGACATGAATGATGCAGATACTGAGGCCTATAATGGGGACATGGCGACAGGGATTGCATTGCATTAAGGACGGGCAAAAAAAAAAAGTGGGGGGGGGGGGGTTAAGAAAGAAATAGGGATAAACAATTAAAAAAAAAAAAAAAAAGATTGCAGACCGTTTAGGAGCGGAGCGTTCGAAAAACATATCAGATACATTTTATGGTAATATGTCTATATTAGCGGCGTCCGTGGCTAAGGCGTTGCGAGTCCGACTCGTAAGCCAGCATACCGCGATCGAAACCCACTGCAGGCTGCGTGGATTTTTGTCGTGGTATGGGGACGTCGCAGGTCCGACCCAGCCTAAAATAGACAGCCGGGCGTAATGCTACCACATTACCCACAGAGTGCTGATGGTCTGTAAAAATATGGGACGCTCTGCCCATATGCCCGATGCGGCCAAAGGCGTGAAAAGGGATTTTTACTTTTTTTTTTTTATGTCTATATTATGGTAACAGTGGTTCTGAAATTACAAGCAGCTATTGGTGAAGATTCTTATTAACGCGCTGGTCTTGTTAGTCACACTCGCCATTGCCGTGGGTGTGATTCTCGTGTCTTCTATTAGTATAATTGGAACACAATCGTCCGGAAAGTTGGAAAGCTGCCAACAGTCAGCATATAGTTTAAAATCGTCGTCGTATTGTAATTTGTCCATAACTGTAGGTTTCAGAAACGCGGAAATGGTGACTGAATTAAGTGCTTACACTTAATGATGGTGAAATAAATTAGATGAAGTCTACGACTAAAATCAGTTATGCACTTCATTAAAGAGCAGCATAGGGAATAGTTTGGCCATTTAATGAGAATCCTCTGATACTGCCACGCTGAAAATGTACATAGAAAACCCTTACATCTCCCTAGTTCTTCACTGAGGTAACTAGAGGAAGAAAAGATGACATACAACAGTGATTCCAAAACTGCACGCCAGGGCGCCCCAGGGAGCCGCGATCTCTTCACAGAAGCGCCACGAAATATTAGAAGATACACAAGTTTTATTTCTTTTTCATCTCTTAACATACCAATCGTCATAATTTTTCTTAAATTAGGGCGCTGTGGAAACATTGTAATTGAAAAATGGCGCCCAGACCAAGAAAAGTTTGTGAAACACTGACATACAAGTAAGAATGCAGTACATTGAAAAGGGAATCAATGACTGTTAGTTCTCGGACCTGACCGCTGGAGTCGTTGATTCGGTCACAATGACGGCACGGTTGATCTCGCTGGTATCACGTCTTTGAATTGTAGGTTGATTGACAGACCTCAGAAGCGGCACTGTCTCGTCCTGAACAATGATGTATCGCGTGGGGTCGTCTCTGGTTTCGGGTTCCGGCTGGTCAACGATTCGAACCACCACGGAATAGGTGAGCAGTGTTAAACAAAGCAACGGAAACAGTGTCCATCCGATCGCCTGCAATTTGGAAATTATTACAAATACTGTAAATATAAAATCTATTATATTCTTCGCAAGTCACGCAGAAAGTGTAGAACATAAATTATTTGAAGTAAATGATTTAAGAAATTACGATCATGTTTACATATTTGAATGAAGAGAAAATCAGCATTGCAGTTTATAAATTGACGTAAATAACTAAAATAAAGATGTTCACTAACTATAAAAGTATCGTGACTATTCGTCTAAATCAGTGGCTCCCAACCTTGCTAATGCCGCGAACCTTTAATACAGTTCCCTCATGTTGTGGCGACCCCCAAACAAAAGTTTTCCTTTAATGGATGTGTGTTTTTGTATGGTCTTAGGCAACCCCTTTGAAAGTATCGTGGAAAAAAGAGCGGCGACCTGCACGTTGAGAACCACTGGTCTAAATAATGAAAGTATGAGAATAGCACAAGGATTCTGGAAAGTCTACCATAATCAAACAATGAGAACATATGGTATATGCGATACATTAATTACAATAAATGAAATAAAAATGTCTATATATAAACAAACAGTATGTACATCTCCCCAAAGATATATCACAGACACTGATATTAATGACAATAAAATTGTTTTTCTATTTCACACTACTACTGGATGTTTGATTTTGCCCTGTTTAGAAAACTTCACTTTACCCGGTTCGAAAAGAGAATCTCTTTGAAAAAAAAGGACAGACACATGTTATTCACCTTTACTTCCTAAAGTTATCTCAGTGAAGTATCACAGACAATTTGAAGTCCTTCTGTGTGTTCTGTGAAAGACGGCTTCTTTATGGTGTGATGCCGTCGCTTGATCTTTTGTTCGTCTTACTCTTGCTTTTAAGCTCATTACAGTTCTTCAAAGTGGTAGTTGAAATGTAAGGCTAAAGATTGATCTATGATAGGTCTCACGAACTGATAAAATATTCAACTATTTATACAACGATGTCAAAGAAGCATTAACATAGTTCTCAAATTAAGCTGTGTTGTATTTTTCTCTAATGAATAAACAGCCCTATGAAAATAAAAGCATTGGTTGGTCAATAATAAACATTATGTCAGAAAGTGTACCATTTGGATTTGCAGAAGGTTCTTGTGTGAGCTCATCTGTGCAGACGCGTTTCTGATATCGTATTTAATCGCTGCGTCATCGCACCTAAACGGGAAAGTTAAACATTGAGAATAGGCAATCATCTTCATATATTTTTGGAAAAGTTGTGCATCTTAACATTTCGCAGTGTCATTTTCTTTTACTAAAGACAACAACAACAACAACAAAAAATGCAGAGTAAAACAAAAGGCTGTAGTGACATCATGAAAACTAGAAAGCAAGTATTATCGCTATATTGTATGCTGGTCCACCTGTATCGGTTTGGCTGAAGACACAGCTTCTTCTTACACGGTAAGAATGCCAACCCTGATGTAAAAGCAGACACTGTGTGCTATGCTGAAACATCATCATTAGTTCTCTTTATGCCTATTGGGACGTAATGCTTCAGAGAGGACTTTCCATGCTTTCCTGTCCTGTGCAATCTTCAGTGCAGTTTTCCATGTCAGAGATGCCGCACTAAGGTCACTTTCCATAGTTCGTCTCCATGTTTTTTTTTTACCTCCCCCCTCCCCCCACGCTTTTTCTCTCTTTTCTTCTAGTATCCATGCGAGAGCTGTTTTGGCAGGTATATAAGGATTCAATTGCATAACGTGACCAAGCCATTTATATCTTTTCTTGATTATCATACTCTTAGGGTTTCTTGTTTTGTGACTTGAAGTATGTTGACCAAGCTAAATTTTATTGCAATGTGTACTTCCGTTAATGGGATATTCAGTAACGCTGTGCACACCTGGTCTGCTTCTGAGCTTGCAAAGTTCTAAACACCGTGTAGCCTAATGTGGGATTTATCAAATATGCTAGACCACTTCTTTAGCTTAACAGGCTCTTTTACTTTTATATGCCTTCAGAACACATTAAACGCTATCTAGCTTGTCCAATGTTCACTACAGTTGTTATATTACTTTATTTTATCACTATGAACGTACAAGACTCATTAATGAATTTTAATTTCGGATACTTCTTCAATGGTATCTACTACGACACATTCTGCCGGTACTGAAATGATTAAAACACACTGGCATAGAAAAAGCTTTGGTAATAGGCCAGGATAAAAGTCTCTACAAGTTTCTCACTGGTATTTAGCAAGAACAGACATCACAGCATTTTGGCCTTATCATGGCTAACGATCCTTGTCATAAGCTCAGCAAGGCTAATACGAGTCATCACACCCCTTCTGTGCTGATTAACAAAACGTCTCTTGTTCCTAATTAAATGTTGATGTCTCCCTGTTGTATCTCAATATCCACCAACCTGGACAGGGATACAGAATCATGCCTATAGCCCTTATGGTCTTGGCAATATGCATCTCTCATAGCATTGATGACAACAATAACGCTGAAAAACCATACGCGAGACAGAATCGGAGTTGTTAGCCTAAAAGCACTTAAAGACATACTGTGGATGAGATCGGAGCACTTATGGTCATGTTCGATGTGCGATTGAACAATGCTTACAACATTGCTGTCCATTGCCTGGCTAATCAAAGTAACTGGGCTGTCAGCCAGATTATATGTACGCTCGATGCCTTAAAAATCCGCTTAAAAACCGTGTACAGATATCAATATTAGATGAGCCGTTTATGATGCTAATCCCACCCCACTCATTTCTGTATCCTAGATAACCCTGTTTTATGAGACATTTCTCCTCGAAGTTTAGGTACGTCAGCATGGTCCCCCCCCCCCCCCTCCTCCTCTTAGACCATTATTTATATTCTGAGAATATCAATGTAACACTAAATTCAAACGCATAGATTTCATCGTGTGGTAATCTCAAAATTGTGCATGATTTACATTCGTATATTCTCAAAATAAAAAAATAAAAAAAGAGATTCGTGTTCTCAACCTTAATCTCTACGCTAATGTTGTGCCATATTGCGGTTTACCTTCTGAATTACAAAGACTAGTTCTAAGCCTCTTTGAAACGCTCTATGTAATCGCTACCATATATATATATATATTTATATATATATATATATATATATATATATATATATATATATATATATATATATATATATATATATATATATATATACCTTTATTTCTACAGAAAAGTCATATATATATATTTATGACTTTTCTCTGGAAATAAAGGTGCGGGTACCCAAAGTGCCTTAAAAAAAAACAATGTGAATGCGCTCACCACAATGTTTTTATTGCTGTAGAGCTGACAAAGGTAGGCACAAAAACAAATGCCGGTACTGCCTATCACCAGAAAAAGCATGAATATTAATACTATTTATGCCTCATCACACTACACACGCACACGCACACACGCACACACATACACACGCACACACACACACACACACGCAATCACACACATACACCCGCAGTGTTCCTCTGCGCCGACATAAGTTACCTGTTGACTGTTTGTGGGATTCCCTCCCAAAAACTTGTACTACATTATTCAACAAACTAATTTAACTGATTTACCGCCCGGCTCTCTAGCGTAGTTGGCTAAGCCGGATTGCGCGGAGAGCGGGTGACGAACTCCTTGTGGTCCGGGTTCAATCCCGCGGGTAGGCAGGAAAGCCACATTTTCTCCCAGATTTACGGTATTTACAATGGAATCGAGGCCGAAAGGTTTCGATATCCATAATATCGAGCCTAAGGGTTAACAACTCCTGGCTTCTGGATACTAAAAACAAACAAACAAACAAACAAAACACAACTGATTTACCCGTAAGACTGAGGAACAGCCTGTTGTAGCAGATCACACCAGATCACGTAATACACTGTGACAACAGAAGCACCCATCACAGCAAAGGCCAGGAAGACACTGGTCAACATTGTGTGGAACAAGGCGACGCTAGAATAAAATACCATCGCTATATCTGTTACTAAGAAGGTCAAGAGCAAACCCAAACATGGATAAAATACAGTCACTTTATATTTGAAAAATGTCCGATTCCGCCAGGGAGTGAACCCACGACCTTCCGATCCTCAGTGGCACAAAACATTTAATTAATAACCACAGAACCGGCGTCACCAGTTGTTTTACGCTTGTGGGGCTATTGGGAAGATTAGAGCATCCATAGATCTGTCAGTAGTGCTGTGATGACAATCCTTACTAATGACTATCTGCCATTGAGCCAGTTAGGTTAGTTGCGTATCCTTTACAGGACGTTGCAGAATCAACCCCAACAGCCCCTAGCTGTTGTGTGGTTTTTCTAGGCAAATATACGTCCAGTAGTTTGCCATTGTTTCCTGGACGGTCGGCTTTCTTAATACCACAGTCGAAACCAACGCAAGGCACATGGCCAGCAGCTGGATCGAACCAGGCAACCCGGCATTACGAAGCGTTCGCATCGACTTAGCCACAGAGCCGACCATTGTGCCAGTACGTACTAAAATTTGCAGAAACAGTATACATTAAGAATGGCGATCAAACGTTGTGCAAACTGAAGATATTTTTCTTCAATGATCTTGATTAAAAAAAGATCAATTGGTTAATCATAGACTTCCGGGGTTAGATCCACATTGTAACAAGAGAACATTTGATTTGTGTAATTCATAAGTATATTACCCATACCACCAGAAGGTCATGCTGTTACATTTTGCCCTCATATTGTGCTTTGGAAAAGTTAACTGAACAGTGCGATTTAAGGGATCACTACAGCAAACAAATATTGTTTTTAATTTACAGGGATAGAGCATTTATTTTGTAATGGTCATTTGTAGGGATACATGTTATTATATTTGTATACTTAAAGTGTTGAAAAAAAATCATGGTTGTCATGGCAATAGCCACCATCTTGTAAAGAAAAACAATATGTACTTAGAATCCTAAAATTCTAAAAACAAACATACATTTTCAACAAAAGATGATAGATTCATGATCTATAGTCCTATTTAGAGTTACAGGTTTTGTTTATTTACTCTAAACATGTTTCTAAATATTTTTAGTAGAATTTTAAAATGTAGGTTTATTGAAAAATACGAAAAAATCTAGCATCATGAGACAATAATCAAATTTTAGAAAACAAAACCTTTTTCAAAATATGCCTTTAAATAGCCCAGTCTCTATAGTATTCCTTAAGAAGTATCCATACCAAATTTCATGTATCTAGTCTTTATATTAGCTGAGATTTTAGGATTGAATGAATGAATTTCTACCCCACCAGGACATCATCACACAAGCGATAAACACCCGATAAAACAAAGTGCCACCATGTGGATAAGGATCACCCTGGAAAGGTCCCAGAAACCGCGTTCAGACAATTGGCCATATTTATGGCCTGCCTATATTGCGGCCCCTGGCAAAAGCCAGAGTGGGGTTTCAAATAACAAAAAATTACGTCCTAAGAAGGACCTAAGGATAAAAAAAAGAACATTTTAGGATTTCAAACACACAACAAACAGAAATATAGAGATGTGAGAAAACTGACTTTTAAACTTTTTTATTTATCTTAAAAAAGTGCATGGGTTGGTGTCTTTAGTATTAACTTTTCAAGGCTAAATTGTTTACAAATGACATAAATTGTGTGTGTAATCTATTCTACGAATGCCGAACTTTACAAAAATGAACACATTGAAAAAGTGATAGTTTTGTCATAAATTGGAAAAAATGCCGTGTAGTGGCCCCTAATTTAATGTTTATAAACTTTATTTTACCTTACTATGCCCAATAGTTAAATAAAAAGACTATTTATCATCAAAGAGACAAAATCGCCATCCGTGAAAAAAGGAATCTCGTCTCAACGAGCACTTAGCATTTATGATGTATCATAAATACAACTTACAAATTACCTTGTAAAGAGAGCCTCGTTACGTATGCACAATCGAACAGCGAGCGAACATTTAATTCTTCATTTAAAAAACAAGCAAAGTATTTTTTAGAAGAAAGTCTCACCAGGCGCTTGAAAACAAACAGTTGGCGACAGCACACATGACAAAATTGAGGAGACACATAGCTCCCATTCCATACACAAGACATTGGCACAAGAGTGGCAGGCCATTGTTCTGGAAAATTTCAAATTAAACATTCAGTTTACAACATAATTCCTGCAAAATTGTCAACGCTTTATCAAAGCACCTTAGATTATATGAAATACAAGTACAATTTAAAAGAAAAGAAAAAAAGGAAAAAAGAAATCAGTCAGTAAGAAAAGATTTTATTTAAAAGACTTCACATTACTAATGCACTAAAAAGACAAAATAAATTAATCATATCAGTTAGTGGACACACGAGATAAATAATTCTCTTTAGGAAATTCATCTGTAATTTTATACCATGACAAATGTAAGCGCGATGAACCTTGAAAGTAATATACAAATAATTACATAATATTTCCAAATATAACCTGAATAAAATATATACACATAATTGTTTGCCATCTCATAAGTCCAGTGGTAGGTAGGTAGTTGTACCCCACCAGAACATCACACAAGCGATAAACACCCAGTGATACAAAGTGCCACCATACGGATGAGGATCACACGTGGAGTGGTCCCAGAAACCCCTATCAACCGTTATGCCATATCTATGGCCATGGCTATATTTATGGCCCAGCTACATTCAGGGCCCCCAGCAGAAGCCAGGGTGGGGCTTCAAAAAAAAAATTTCATCCCACATAGGGATGACGTATGTAAACATAACGAGTCGATTATTACAAATCGGTAGCAGAGCACCCCGGGGTTTTATTAATACATAGTTTACAATGTAACTACGTCATATGTTTGACGTAACAAAATAATCAGTGACAAAAAGTGTTGTCTGAATATGTTTGCTTCGGCTTGCATTGTAATCCACAAATCTGGTTGTACAACAATTTATCATATTTGAACTTTATATCCAGAAATAGTGCATACATCAAAGTCAGTGCTATGATTGCAAACATGTCGATTAATTCGCTTTGGAAAAGGAAAGAGAGTATATATATATATATATATATATATATATATATATATATATATATATATATATATATATATATATATATATAGTAAAGTTCAGATCTCTTTTCACGCCGTTAAGCGTATCGGGTATAATGGAAGAGCGATCATATTTCTACAGACAAATCGGCACTAGGTGGGTAATGTGGTTATTCCTATAAATAAACAGAGAGGGGAACCATTTGAGGCCGTTAAATATTATGAATTAATCAAGTAACATAAAGTATTGTGAACGGCACTCATAGAAAAAAGTAGAAAGATAGAAGAACACACTAGACAACATAAAAATCGAAAGCTATAGTTACCGTGCCGGGAATTGAACCTGTCACCTCCAGACGGCGTCTGCGGCTCGTCATGAATACAAGTGCTCTAAGATACATGGTCAACTAGGCACCCCCAAAAAAAGGTGTCTCATTGACCATGTCTATCGTACAGCTTGAAATCCACGACTATGGAATACGGACAGAATTCATTTCAACCCATTGGAAATGGCACCATAGGTTACAGAAATTTATATTAACGAAGCAAATTTCGAATAACAATCACAGCAACGATTTACGAACACAGTAAGACCTTATTGCTTTGTCTAGAATACACAAACATTTTTCTTCTATCTTTCTACTTCTTTCTATGAGTGCCGTTCACAATACTTTCTGTTACTTGATTAATTCGTAATGTGGTCAGCATTTCGCCGCTCGTCTTTACTTCCCTAGGACAGCCATCTGGTACCCATTTTAGGCTGGGTCGACCTGCGACGCCCCAGACCATAATAAAAACCCTATATATATATATATATATATATATATATATATATATATATATATATATATATATATATATATATATATATTGCTTTAACCGTGTATTTTGCTATATGACCATATATAGTTTTCGACATCCCACATTAGGTTTAAAAATATTCATTCGACATATTTTCGCACCTCGTCCTATTGTCATCAGCAAGGGCGTGAGAGCACAATTTTAATTTGATGATTTACCATAACATAGAATGAAAGTTTGTACCAGGCATAGAAATAAAAGGGAACCTAGTAAAAGCTCATAAACATAACATAAAATATTTTAGGTCTCTAGGACTCATCGTACATATTTAATTACGTTTATTGTTCATTTCTATACACAAACTGTTCTTAAATAGCGTTGGTAGTGCTTTCCTTGTACAGGAAGTGACACATATACAATCATTAGTTAAAAAAATAAATAGTTAGTGTACTTGTTTCACACGATCGATTTCATCCTCATGTCATGTTACCAGATCAGTTTGGCGTTTATATCTCTCCGTATATATTGCGATATCTTACCCACAGTCTCCTGATTGAAATTTATGTATGTAAATATAAGTATCCAGAACAGTCAGTATGGGTATCACGGAGTGACTGCTGCAATTTTTTACCTGGGCAGCAATGCACACGGGCGTCTGATCTCACTACCCAGAGACCAAGGAGAATTACTAGATGTCCAATTTCACGTGAAAAAATCTGTCCTTACTGGGGATTGAACCCAGAACCTTTAGCACTCGAGGCGGACACCATGCCTCGAAACCACGCAGCCCCCCCCCCTCCCCCACCAATCCCCTGGATTTTAGAGAAAAATATTAGACTGACACTCTACAACCCCTTGCACGTCCTTCACCATGCTCTACCTAAGTCTTATGTATGTTCTTCAGCTTCTTCTCTCCGTTAAAGCCTTTTGAATCACAGAGCTGCAACAATTTAGCAAAAAGGTTGTTTAAAATGTATAATTTCCTGACGCTCCCTCGTCCTCTCCATATTATTAATCTATGTCCCCAGTCACCTCTCTTTCTCTCTCTCTCTCTCTCTCTCTCTCTCTCTCTCTCTCTCTCTCTCTCTCTCTCTCTCTCTCTCACTATCTTTCTTTCTTCCGCATTTCTTTACCGTGTTATGAAAGACCTTGAAAATCTAAGTATTTAATCTCTAAGTCTCCACTAACAAATTCTTTGTTAAGTTAAACATAGAAGAAATAGACAAGAAGATGAGCAAAGAAGAAAACAAATCCTCATACTAAGCTAAGATAATAAGATTGTTAGATAATGAATAAATCCAAAGACAGCAGCATCTTGATCAGCTAGCTGATCGGGAACACATTGCAATGCGTTGTCTAAGGATAGAAACATAACAAACTAAACATGGACACACAAGATGAGGCTATGTTAATTACACACAAACCACCGATCGTAAAAAGAAAAAATAAATTAGAAAATTTAACAAAAACCGGAAATAAGACGCTATATTTGGCAGTGAGAAACAAAGGAATGCATACTTTAACAATAAATAAAATCTTGGACTTACGGAAGGAATGAATTTAGCGTTTGCATCCAACAAGCCTGGTAAGTAATCCAAGGACCCAGCCCAAGACAGTATCGTGTACAAGCAGAAAAAGCCTGCTACAAGCCCAGTCAGACAATGCAGCAGACCCAGCTGTACCTTCAGGCAGCACTGAAGACCCAT